GCGCAGCATGAGTTGCTTGAAAAACATGGAGAACACTGTACCTTCACCGAGATCTGGCTGCGTTTTTTGAGACCATTTCCTGGGTCCTGAGTTTGGGAAAGAATGTCTTTGCTCAGGTAAAGTTGGAGATGTTGTCAAAAAATATACAATCAAAACATTACATGAGTTTACAGTTATCCGTTTCTGCAAAGGAAAATTCCAAACTGACGTTTCTTTTGCTGCTTAGTATATTACATTATATGAATATAATTTAGACAAAGGGGCCTGTTTCCGTAAGATATGTTTTCTTTAAGTGTGAGGTGCTAAAGGTAGCATTTCTTCAGCAAATTTCAAATTAGTTATTACTACAAGCAAGGGTTCCTAAAGTCAGTTCTAACCCGGATCTTCACGGGTACTCCTTGGTAGCAAGATTTGTTGTTAAAGGGAATGTATGTTTCTTCCATCGATTCAACATTTGATGTTGCATCTGAAAAGGCAAGCACAATTAATCATTCACGAATGGTTGACTGATCAGAGTGTCTTGGGCGGCGGTCATCATCTGTGTGGACCTGAGCGGTTGTGCAGGCAGGCGTAACAACCCGCCATTGTCACTTGTTCAACCGAGGCTCAACAATCAGCATTGCCCGAAGAACTTCGTGTTTCATTGGAAAGGAGAGAGTCAAGTGACCGGTTTGTAAATGCGTTGGCCTGTAAGCTACTGGAACTGTGTTTCACGGTTATATATTATTAATGACAGGACAACTCGTGACAAAGAGACAGGTTTCACTTACATTCCAGATCAAATATGAAGTGTAATCGATTATTCTATTGGTTCAGTTAATGTTCACAGTTATTGTCGATCCAAAAGCTGTGATAAAACAGCTTATGACTTAAACCTTGCATTCGAAATACGTGTGAACATTGTACACAGTACCGCTCGATATATGTAAATAATATTAATAAACGTTTAGGGTTGACATTTTGATAGTTATGTATTATAGTGTGTGAGTGAGTTTAGTTTTACGCCGCTTTTAACAATATTCCAGCAATATCAAGGCGGGGGACACTAGAATGGAGCTTCACACATTGTACCTGTATGTTGGGGAATCGAACCCGGATCTTCGGCGTGACGAGCGAACGCTTAAACCACTAGGCTACCCCACCGCCCATTATGCATTATACTTAAGTGCTCCAGAAATGGCTTTGGAGGGACACATTTTGCCCTTTCAAGTTTGTCAAAAGTTTTGAATGAAAATATTTGATTTATTGCTTTTGCATGCTTGTTACACGGTGACATGTTACTACTGTTATCATAACTACATGTTTTAATTAAATGGCATCTTCCTGGCGGACTGCATACACTGCTTCAAAGCCATGCTTTTTAGGTGCCAAAATGTCTGCACCTATATGTCTGCACGTCATTTTTACATCAATTTTTTCTAATGTCATCCCTTTTACTGGGCTTGAAAACCCATGTCATATAGTATGACCAGAAATTATTGAGAATTTTAGGAATATGTTTAATTGGATTTCTAGTATAAACAACCTTGACCAGCTATCAAGTGCTTGGTTTCATTCAAGAGAGACAACTCCGTTCATCCTTTTTCATTAGTTTGTGAAGAATTATCCCCTTTGTTTACTTGCTAGCAGACGACATTTTCAGTGATCCTCAGTATGGATGATTTAGAGAAGAGGAAGTTGAGTATTATAATAAGGACATCAGATTAGCTAAAGTGATTTCAAGTAGAACAGGCATCCCTTTGTCCACTGTTTATCGTGTGTTGAAAAATATTACAAATGAATATGGCACTGAGCAACAGGGAGGCGCAGGTAGGCGGCTTGGTATTCTTGTTTCTAAAAACAAACGAAGGAGTTTAGAAAACTTAAGGCTGGATATGATTGATAGAGGAACTGTGGCTGTCTGTAAGGAGACAATTAGAACTGAGCTGCATGCAATGGGTTGGCAGAAAAGTCGAGGAATTCCATCACCGATCATGAAACCTGAACAAAAGGAGCGAAGGTTGAACTGGTGCTTACAGCATAGAAATTTTAACTGGGACAATGTGATTTTCTCAGATGAAAATTCTGTGTGGCTGTTTCCTAATACACTGAAATTCTGGACCAAACAAACTGAAAAACCTTTGTATCAGCGCCTGGAGTAGTCCGAAATTTAACGTGTAGGGTGGCATATCTGTGTTAGGGGCAACGCCCCTCTGTGTATTTGAAGGAAATATGAACAGTGATCGGTACACAGATATTCTCGAGGGACATTTACTTCCATCTGCTCACGTGTTCTATGGAAATGTTTGTATTTTCCAGTAGGACAACGATCCAAAAAATCGTTCAAAGCATTCACAGGCCTGGTTTCGGACCCAAAATATGACATTATTAGATTGGCCAAGCTATAGCCCTGACCTAAATCCAGTAGAAAATGTTTGGGGACTTATGACGGAAAATGTCAATAAGAAAAATCTGACAAATATTGCTGAAATGAAAGAAGAGGTGGTCCGATATTGGGACAGCATGGACCACGACTTTCTAACTTCTTTGATCAGTAGCATTCCCCGCCGCATTGAAGCCTGCATTGCTGCCAATGGTGCCTTGACAAAAACTAAATGTTCACCTGTCTTTGAATCTGGAGTTAAGTTCTGCTAATATTCACATTAAATACCTGAGAAATGAGTGAAAAATAAAATTACAATCTTTAAATTCTCAATAATTTCTGGTTGTACTTCTTTTGTGTACATATATGTGTCCTGATTTTCCATTTACTTCATAGTTTGGGAAGCGTGCGCTTTATTATTCTAGGGATGTAATCATTGTTTAGAAATGAAAGTTCAGTGATTTGTCACTGCTGCTTGAGTTACAATGGTTACAGTTTTATTTGAGGGGTAGAAATGGTGACAGTGAGGACACTATTGGAAATGGAAATATTGAACAATAATGAGATTTTGCTGAAAGCCAGACATTACGGTAAGTACACTGGGAGGTTACGGTTCTAACGTTTTGCCTCTCCAGGGGTCATTTTGTGATCCAACAATCCTTGTGGCCACAATATCCCTTTTCTGGCTGCTCCTGATCCATGTAAATAGATGCAGTAGGATGCCCAAAGATCTGCAAGACACCCTACAAGTAGTCTTCCCTGTGACAAGTACCAGGTGAGGATGTTTTAGGATCAGTCAAATCACGTTTCTGTGGGAGAAGTGTTGTTCAACATTGAGACAACAAAGGCGGAGCATTCCCCGTTTCCAACTGAAGATTGAATTGAATCAAAGCACTGAGGTGATGCTGTTCGGACACAAGGGAACCAATACTGGTTTCAAATACCTTCGGGCCCTTGAGCCTTTGGACTTTCCTATTATTTTTGTCACACAGTCAAGTGTAATAAAACAGACAAATGTCATGTACAGTATCATTGTGATCATCAAGGTTGCAGTTTCCAGGTATAAACCACATCTTTCTCCAAAACCTTTTACTGGAACCAATGGCGGGTATGTTGCCTGTATCAATGCCTGTATAAATGTTTTCCATCACTTTTGTCCACTTATTATGGTTTATGAAATTATGCTCGAAAGGCAGCTTACACACAACAGTTAATTACATACGAATAACAGTAAGGTATAAGGCTGACAGAAATTAAGTGAGGTATTTTTTCAAGATGATTCTTGGGAAATGATTTGCTAAAATGTTCAGTTAGTCTCCTGTAATTAACGGATTTGACTACAACATTAACAAAATATACAACGTATCCTCAGAAAGGGCATGGACAGAGGCGTCGGGATCCATCAGGGCTTTTATTTGGTTATTTTGTGTGGGTCGTCAGTAACAACTACATGAAGGCAATTTAGAAAGATTAATGCAAAAGTTCATTTGCAATTTCGGGTCTGTTGCTGTTGTCACTATGGGTTCTTGCAAACACATGCCTCACAACTGTTAGCATTTCACGGTGTATACACAACTTCAGTCGCCGGAACTGGTCATGAATATTACTAACATATTAGATTGTTCATAAATACAACCAAGAGGGTTCGCTTGGTCCTGGCACATTCAGCCTGATCGTGCTCATTATATGCTCAAGGACCAAGCCTCCTTTGTACGCAGCCTAAATAACCATTCGAACCCACAAAACCATTTTGGCAGAATGCGAAGGCTGCCTAACACTGCAGGCTTCTGCATGACCCACCGTGCCAGAAGGTCTGTGTTCCAAATAGCAAACAAGGGTACTCTCTCAGTGTCAGTTAAGAGTTTGAGCGGTACCAAGAACAACAGTGAGTAGGTTAACTTGCTGTTTGATCGAGCCACTCCATCAAGTCTATGGAGATACTGCGTGCGTGCCAAGGTTCTGTATTCACCAACAAAATAAATGTAGTTTCATTGAAGTCTTTGTATTATCTACATTTCATGTTAATGTTTGTATTAAAAAATGACTCATTTGGAAGTGACTGGTCCAAAGGAGTAAACAGAAAGCCTTCTGTTTCACTTTTCAGGACCGACAAGGAGTCAGATGGGTTGTTCTTCTCCCGCAGTACAGGACCATCAACAAAATCAACATCATTGTTCAGATTCTGTCCAGCACCTTTGGCACTTAAAACAACTGTGAAATACCATGGTTTTATCATGCTTCACAAGAGGATCATCATAAATATATGCAAAAGTGCACATTGAAATATTGTAATGAAGAGTCTCCGCGTCAATCAAACTGCGCCCTGTCAATAAAATTGGTGAAACGATTGGTAGTCCAATTCGGGCTGACGTTTCTCCAAACATTAGACAAAAACCTTTCGAAGTTGTTCAAAGTTTGAATTAATTCACGAAAGTACTTTTATATTTGTGAGTGCAATTTTGATTTAATCTTGACTGGAAGGAGTGAACGTTTATTCAAACCTTATGTCAGCTTTAAGGAAATAACTAAGTGGTTCACAGGTTAAGCGAGACTAGTCAAATATAGTGGGCGTCTACACTAAATTGTATAGTGATTGCTGAATCCAAACGAATCAGTAAATTGTCTCTTATTGTCCTACCTTGACCGCCAAGTACAGTTCCAACCATCAACATACAGACCCACATCGCCATGATGTCCCCTTCCATCTAATGGCGTAGCTACACTGCGAGACACTACTCGGGGAACCATCGACCCGTCTGGTGTTTGGTCTTTATTCAATACCACACACTGTTTTGTCTCACGCCAATGCGTTATTGTATATCCATCTGCTTTATATAATCAATTACGATGTATCCATTTCACTGGTTTTGTTGTGTGATTCTATAGGTGAGGTGAAATGTAATCTAAAGTTATGTCCATATTTTATCTCTTTATTACCGAGAAATATAAAGTTACGTCCTTATTAGCGAGTACACCAGGACCACATGGTATTCTTCACGTATGAAGTATCACAACGGTAATGTCCAACGAAGGGCACGAATGATATGTTTTCAAAGGCGTCTGTTGAAGATTCTTTATAAGAGGGATTCTATCAAACCTAATATTCTATGATTCGGCATTGTGATATTTAACTTAGTTGAATGGAAGACATTTTCTTGGTAACACTGACCTCTAAAACCCCAAACTATTACACATATGGGGAAATGAAAATCTCAAGTGTTTCTAGAGCGACCATAACTATGCTACTTGATTAAGATTAAAAGCCATTCCCATACTCATAATAAGTCTCGGCTAAGGGCAGCGCCTTTTGAACAATCCCAACTTAACGTCTATTTATGAATCACTATCAAATAGAGATGATACCATGTGTTCCCGAAAAGAAGAAAGTTAAGGTGGCACCCGTCACTAAAACTTGCAAGTCAGTCAGCTTTCCAAAAGCACAGGGACATATGGTTTTAGCTAAAATAAGGAATTGCATCGCGCACAGATGTCTCGAAATTGGAAACGCCCTCCACATACCTACTAAAAACATTTCAACTTATTTTGAGACCATTGATGCTGCAACCCTGACCAATTTACTTTTTAGCACGAAAGCGAATAGCTAGTTGAATTTGTCATACGATCGCAAAACCTTGGTATAAACTATGCGAAACGGCAAGAGATCATTAGAATATGTTCAATGTACCAGAAGCGAGAAGTAATACACACGTCTTCTAGGTTCTTTGGTTATATTTATATTTATTTGAAAGGTACACCAAAATATCCAATACATTACTGACAAACCATGTGATACGCCGTCCCAGATTTCGGAATAGGTGACCATTATCTACTAATTAAAACCTGACCATAAAATGCTGTAAAGAAAGGAGATTGTGTATTCGAACTTTGCAACTCTCCTGTCTTATACGTCCGGTCATATTGACATCAATAACCTAATATTTACCAAACGCTGACCAAAGTGAAAAATCCATTCTTTATGCATGTAACTAATTTAAGATACGGTGATCCCAACCAAACTCATTTAAAGTTATCAGGATGAAAACACGGAAACACATTCAAACATGTCAACAGTCAACAGTCAAACATGTCAAACATACACAAACATGCCAACACTCAAACATGCCAACACTCAAACATGCCAACACTCAAACATGCCAACACTCAAACATGCCAACACTCAAACATGCCAACACTCAAACATGTCAACACTCAAACATGCCAACACTCAAACATGCCAACAGTCAAACATGCCAACACTCAAACATGTCAACGCAATCAAACATGCCAACAGTCAAACATGCCAACACTCAAACATGCCAACACTCAAACATGCCAACAGTCAAACATGTCAACGCAGTCAAACATGCCAATAGTCAAACATGTCAACACAATCAAACATGTCAACAGTCAAACATGCCAACACAGTTAAACATGTCAACAGTCAAACATGCCAACACAGTTAAACATGCCAACACTCAAACATGTCAACACAGTCAAACATGTCAACGCAATCAAACATGTCAACAGTCAAACATGCCAACACAGTTAAACATGCCAACACAGTCAAACATGCCAACACAGTCAAACATGCCAACTGTCAAACATGTCAACACAGTCGAACATGTCAACGCAATCAAACATGCCAACAGTTAAACATGCCAACACAGTCAAACATGTCAACGCAATCAAACATGCCAACAGTCAAACATGTCAACACTCAAACATGCCAACACAGTTAAACATGCCAACACTCAAACATGCCAACACACTCAAACATGCCAACAGTCAAAGCCAACACAGTCAAACATGCCAACACTTAAACATGCCAACACAGTCAAACATGTCAATACTCATACATGCCAACAGTCAAACATGCCAACACTCAAACATGCCAACACAGTCAAGCATGCCAACAGTCAAAGCCAACACAGTCAAACATGCCAACCGTCAAACATGCCAACACAGTCAAACATGCCAACACTCAAACATGCCAACAGTCAAACATGTCAACACAATCAAACATGTCAACACTTAAACATGCCAACACAGTCAAACATGCCAACAGTCAAAGCCAACAGTCAAACATGCCAACACAGTCAAACATGTCAACACATTCAAACATGACAACACTGAAACATGCCAACACAGTCAAACATGACAACACTGAAACATGCCAACAGTCAAACATAACAACACAGTCAAACATGTCAACACATTCAAACATGTCAACACTCAAACATGTCAACACTAAAAAATGTCAACAGTCAAACATGTCAACAGTCAAACATGTCAACACTCAAACATGCCAACACATTCAAACATGCCAACAGTGAAACACGTCAACACAATCAAACATGCCAATACAGTCAAACATGCCAGCAGTCAAACATGTCAACAGTCAAGCATGTCAACACGGTCAAACATGCCAACACAGGCCGTCACTGAACAAACAGTGTTGTAACATGGTTAATTCAATATTCTACCATGAATCAAGAAAATACTAGATTCTGATTGGGTGTTCAGAAAAATCAGACGGCATCAATTGTGGATTGACGCTCATCTGATTGTAAGGCCGCTTCACCGCGCATTAACGAATCTTATTGTGAGAACTACTTCCGTTTGACCATAATGATGGCGGATCATAACAACAACTCCATGGATTTTGACGCTGACTTTCGAATTTTCCACATAGGCAATTGGAAATTTTTGGATTAAAAATGATTTTGATTTCATTGCGCTTCACTTCACGCATAGAACGCTGCCGCACTACTTAGCTTGACCACCAAAATGACTAATATCAATACAACAGACGTGATGGAAATGCTGACAAAACATTTATTTAAACTCGAAAAATACAATTATATGATTTCCCCCACACAATTATGAGGGAACCTCACTATCATATTACCTTCTATTATAAAAATATTCAAACTCAATTACAATACACAGCCCCCAAAGATAAACAAAACAATATCTAACATATAAATCAGAAAGCCTTGTAAAAATACATCCCTATCTATGCAAAATATGCAGCAAAACATTAGTAAACATTTACCTACCTGGTAAATGGTATATTTAATTCCGTTTAGAATGGGAAATTTGCAAGATAGATCTAACGGTCTGGCGAAACACCACATTTATGCCACTCATAGTCATACTCCATCATATCCCGTTGGCGTTGCATCGTTCACAAAATAATTCTGCTCTCTGCCAGCTTCCCTGCAAGGTTGTCACTGTTATGTTCATCTACTTTGGAAATCGCTTGGACACAGTCCAGTCCCAAACGACGAAAACAAAGTTCCAAGGAATCACAAGTTAGTCGCATGTACACTAAGCAGCAGCACTGTCACTCTGTTGTCGCATGCCGGGGTGGGGGCAGTACGTGAAATCATGATCGGCCGGTCATAAAAATCAACAGTCTTTGATGAGTAACAGGTCGTAGGTTGATCAGGAAAGGATCTATTCTTCGATTCTGCAGGGTTCAGATTCGACAGTCAGTCAAGTATTGTCCACTGTCACTTCAAATTTCAACCTTTCGCAAAATGTAAACACTGGCTCGGCCGCCATTTCAAACTGTTGCGTAACTGTCTACTTCGAAGAAAATAAGTAGGTCAGACGATTCCATTATAGTGTGGCCAGGGGGCTACAGTTTCACGGCACACAAAACAATAGGCTGATTTTAGTCGTGTGGAGATGGGATGAAAAAAACACAAGATCTTGGGTATTACATAATTGCATTGAATAAACAGTAGTTTGATTTCTTTGGACAGAATATTGTTATGTTGTAATGTTAAAAAATACGAACGGCACCTACCGCTCCCTTCACAGACGAGTTCAATTCGCCTCTCGTCCCATGCCGGATTACGCAGTGTCTTCCGCAGAGCGAGGAAGTTCGATTTTAAATGGGTCATGGTAGAGATGGAGATAACCCTAGTGTGTTTGAAAATCAGAGACATGTTTTACTAAATTGATGGCGACTAAATATTTCAATTGAAACCTCACGCTACGCGTTCGGTTCCAATTGAAATTTAGTCGCCATCAATTCAGTAAAACATGTCTCTGATTTTCAAACACACTAGGGTTATCTCCTAAATCAAAAATATCACAACAAATACACAAATTAACCGATTTAAATACTTTCGTACGTGACCGACCTTCGCCAAATCGGTTATGCGTGTGGCCACAGTTGCATCTGTGATTCGCTCTCCATTGCGACGATAAATCCTCTGCCAACCATCATGGAAGGACAAATTGAATCTGCTTTCATCTGTGAAGAGCATTGACGTTGGTTCCAGCCATCATATCAACTCCATCTCGAACGCCTCTGCCTGTGACGTACTGTTAGTGGTCGGCGAACTGCCTAGAGTGGACTCCGGCTGCCCTTAAACTTTGACGAACGGTGCTCCTGGATATCCTTACATTGTTAACATTGAAGTGTTCTAGGGGAAAAGTAGACGACACCTTTGTAGTCCTCAACTCCGACGACAACCCTGAACACCTCCTAGACCACCTCAAGTCTCAACATCCCCTTATGCAGTTCACAATGGAAGAAGAATCTCATAACAAACTCTCTTTCCTCGACGTCCTGGTGCAGAAACAAGAAAACAAGCTCTCCACCACTGTCTACAGGAAACCCACTCATACCGACCAATATCTTCACTTCACCTCCAATCACCCTCTGCAGGTTAAGAAAGGCATCATTTCCACCCTTACCCGAAGAGCCAAGAACATCTGCTCGA